GGATAAGAAGAAAAGGAGGAGGAGGTGGTGGTGGTGCTGGTGGTGGTGGTGGTGGAGGAAGAAGAAGAAGAAAAAGGACAAGGAGAAGGAGGAGAAGAAAGAGGTAAAACCCTCCCTCTCTCTCCTTCTTTCGTGCTTCCCTTGTCGTACACGCGACGGAGCCCGACAAAGCCGCGCCTTATCGCGACTAATTTATATTTTAAAAGTAATTTCTGACGGGGCTAAAGGAGCCAGTCAGGAAGGCCACTCGAGATCTCGACGAATAAATCTCACCGAACGAACGAACGAACGAACGAACGAACGAACGAACGAACGAACGAACGAACGAATGAACGAAAGAACGAAAGAACGAACTAACGCACGACGACGACGACGACGACGACGACGACGACGACGACGACAACGACGACTATGTCGACGACGTCGACGACGACGACGAGGGATTTATGAAAATTCCTACGAAATATTTTCAAGATGGAATCGTGCCGCCGTCTTTGTCGCCATCTTGCCGATTATATTTTTAAATATCGGATTACGACGAGTCTCACTCTCTCTCTCCCTCCCTTCCACCTCCCTCTCGCTCTTCCTTTTTTCGCTGAAAGGAAAAAAGAAGAGAAAATAAATCTGTGCTATCGAGCTCAAGCATCTGTTTTAAAAGAGTATGTTAATCTTCATGGTATTCATTCTCTTTCTCGAATGTTTCAAAATGGCCGCGACCGAACGAGTGCAAAATACAAATAGCGACCAAGAGAGAAAGAGAGAGAGAGAGAAAGAAAAAGAGATAAAAAGAGAGAGAGAGGGAGAGAGAGAGAGAGAGAAAATGGTTTATCACACGGTAAGTTATAAACGTGTTCTCGAATTTGAATATAATGAGGATAGAAGTAGACGGTAGGAAACTAACTAAGTTTACTTGTTTCCAAATTCACCGGACCAAAAGCGGTCCAACGTTAACTCCACAGGACATCTCTCTAATGGAAGGTATTACTAATTAACCAAATGTTCTCGTACCTACATATGTATATATATATATATATATATATATATATATATATATATACACTTAGATACTTACGTACATACGTACTTACTATCATTCTAGTATCAATCTCTATTCGCTTTCATCATTAGAATATTTACCATTATTAAAAACGATTGTTGAAAACCCAATTTTGATGTTACATGTATATATATATAAATATAAATATAAATATAAATATAAATATAAATATAAATATAAATATAAATATAAATATATATATATATACAGATTACGTACTGTGTGACAACATATCGTAAATAATAATATAAACAAAAATGAAAAAAAAAAAGAAAAAAAAAGAAAGAAGAAAAACAAAAACAAAAAATGTCAGAAAAAATAGAGTTAGATAAGTGTAACGTGTAACGTGAAACCGGACGTTCGTTGTTTACATGGAAAACTGTTTTTCCATGTAGATCGTTCTCTCTCTCTCTCTTTCTCTCTCTATCTCTCTCTCTGTCCCCCCCCCCTCTCTCTCTCTATCTCCCTCTTTTATTCGCGATAATGATCGTCGATTAGGATCGACAGGACGAACACGGAAGTATTTTCCTTTCTTTAGCACGTCAAACGTTCTAGTATAACGTTGTGGTATGGATCAAACATTATACATATATCGTACGTGTTTGCTATCCCTTCAAGATCTAACGTTCGCCGCGTGAAAAATGACCCATTCAAAACGTTGATCGCACACTCCACGGCCCACCACCTCCTCCTCCTCCTCCACCACTCGAGAATCTCTCATCTTCTCTCTCTTCCTCTGCCTCCCTCTCTCTCTCTCTCTCTCTCTCTCTCTCTCTCTCTCTCTCTTTCTATCTCTGTTTTATGTGCACGGGAAAAAGAATAATCTAATTGCGATCTTTCCGCTGGTCAAACTCTCTCTCTCTCTCTCTCTCTCTCTGTCTCTCTGACGTTCTTTTCTGCATTAGTTCTTCTATCTATTCTCTTTCTTCTTTTCTCTCTCTCTCTCTCTCTCTCTCTCCCTCTCTCTCTCACTCTTTCTTTTTACTGCTCTTTATCCTCTTTACCCTCTTTCTTTCTATTTCATTCCCGTAATATCGTAATCGTCGTGGTTGGAAATTGAAAGATATAAAAGATAAAAATAAAAATGGAAACAAAAAGGAAGAAATTAATAAGAACGACATCATGATGAAGAGATTTTTTTCTTTCCCCTTGGAACTAAAGGATAAAAACATGTTAAATATATAGATTTAATATCATTTATTTATCGTGAATTTTCTCAATTGTTTTATATTAACTCTTTCCACGTATAAAACTAAATTTTCTTCAAATTTATATATATATATATATATATATATATATATATATATACGAGTGTATGTATATATGTATGTACTCGTACATCTCTCGTCGAAAATTAATACTGCCAATCGTTTAATTAAAACGTCGTTCATCGAGTTACATTTATATATAATAGTTGATACATATATATTTATATATATACATATATATATATATATACATACACCCACACATATACACACTTACGCGATGAGAAATTCGATCGTATAAAAATTTCACATATAATTCTTGTTGGATAAAAAAAAAAAAAAAAAAAGAAAAGAAAGAAAAAAAAGAAAAAAAAAAGAAAAGAAAAAACAAAACAAAACAACAAAAAATTGATTTGATATTTTTGAAAATAAAAATTCGACGAAATCTTATATTTCAGGCTTATATATAGGTCCGTTGTATTATCAACTGTCGATAACCGGTATATAATAGGAATATCAGTAAATATTTGATGAATTTTTAGCTTCGCGAAAACGCGTTATACATAATAAAATTGTTTGCTGTTATCGAGTTACTGTTAAAAAAGGAAAAAAAAAAAAAAAAAAAGAATGAAAAAATAATGAAAAAAAAAAAAAAAAATGGAAGATAAAAGAAAAAAAAGGAAAAAAGAAAAAATCTGTACTTTCGATTAAATCGTTTTTATCCCTTTTTTCTTTTTTTTTTTTTACTTTTTTTTTTCTTTTTTTTTTCTTTTTTTTCTTTTTTTTTAAATTCTCTCGTAAAATATCGAAAGGACGTATTTATATCCTGATGTTTCACGAAAGATTCACAAATTTATTGGACATAACGTAATATGGTAAAAGTCACTTTGGATGCATTGCAATTTGTCGACGATACCAAAGTCACAAAAAACCGATACATACATATATAAGTATGTCATTTACATCGGCACGGTTTATTATTATTATTATTATTACTATTATTATTATTATTATTATTATTATTATTATTATTATTATTATTATTATTATTATTATTATTATTGTGTCTATCTAATATTTCCGTGATTTTTATATATTCGAACGTTCACTATAAAAATTATTTGATCTATCTCTTTTCTACTTTCGTATATATTAACACCGCCAATATAAAGCTTAAAAGAATTATTGTATAGTTTTTAATGAAGAAAAAACATGGCTGAAGATCATTAATGATCTAGGAATACGAGCATATGATTGTAATGATCGATCGTTGGATAGATCGTTAAGGAATCATATTTCCTATATTCACGATTATTGCAAATTACTCGCATAAATACATATATATATTTTTTTATATACTTTCTCTCTCTCTTTCTCTCTCTTTCTTTCTCTCATTTATCGACGACCATCGGGCCGATTTGCGTAATAACATACCAAGCAAAAGTCACGTCGCGAACGAGATTCGCAGAACTTTATTACGGAACGGCACGATTTTTGTATAACGGCGATTTAAAGCGAAAGTTTTGTTTCATTATTATTATTGTTATTATTATTCGTTATTATTATTATTTTTATTATTATTATTTTTATTATTACTACTATCGAACGACCAAACTCGGCACGCTTCACGAAATCTATAAAATATGAAAATCGTTTTAATCCGCGAAATAGTTTGAGTGGTTAATAAAAGCAAACTGTTCGTTTGTTTTGCAACTTCCGCGTTTCTGTAATTATACGTGGATATTTTCTGTCTCTTTTTTACTCTCGTTCACCTCTCTCTCACCCCCCACCACTCATCTCTCTCTCTCTCTCTCTCTCTCTTTCTGTCTCTCTCTCTATCTATCTATCTCTCTTTTTCTCTCTCTCTCTCTCTCTCTCTCTCTCTCTCTCTCTCTCTCTCTCTCTCTCTCTTTGGCACGGTCGGTCTTTCATTCTTTTGCGCACGGTATTATCGAGTTATGCGTATGCACGCACATACCGTGAAATATTTAGAGAGAGGGAAAAAGTAGATCACACAACGTGCATGCATCGAGATTGGAAAAGCGAATCGGCTTGCACGTATCCGCTTAAAGCGTGGGCGTCGAGCATGAAAAATGCAAATTCGTAACTCCCTGGGAAGATCGGATGGGAAAATGGAAGCATGGAGATCGGCAAAGAGAGAAAGAGAAAGAGAGAGAGAGAGAGAGAGAAAGAGAGACAAGAGAATAAAGAGAGGAGAGTACATAGATAATAAAAAAATAAAAAAATAAAAAAAAAAATAAAGAAAAAATAAGAAAAAAGAAGAATAAAAGAGTAGCAACGTACAAAGCAGAAGAGGTCAAATCGAGGGTGGTAAGAGTCCGAGTACAAGCGCGATTATAATGCATACGTAACCTCCTCCTCCTCTTCCTCCTCCTTCTTTTACTTCACAAACACCACCTCCCCCTCCTTCTCCTCCTCCTCCTCCTCCTTCTGTTATAGCACGCATCATACGCACCCAGCTCTCGAAGAGGATGGTATTATTGGATGACCAGAGAGAAAAAAAGGGGAAAAAGAAAAAAAAAAAAAAGGAAGAAACAAGAACTTGATTGCGTGGGTGACTTACCTGAAACATAAAGAGACAAAAAGTAAATTATTAATACGATCATAATATTTAAATAGATTAACGAATTAATTATTTTTCTGATTGATTCGAGATTAATCGCGTTGGCATTGATTCTCTCTCTCTCTCTCTCTCTCTCTCTCTCTTTTCTTAT